GTGTAATAATATCTATTGCTATGTCCGATAGCCGTGTATCACAAAAAATAATTAACCAACGTTTCTCCTTTAACTAATAGAGCATTAATTTTCAAATATGTACACTCACTATCACAATACTCAGAATATATATGTATATATCCTCAGTTGCCAGGGCAAGGAAAGACCCATAACTGCTTCTTTCTAAACATATAAATAGGGTTTCAGGCGCTTGATGGAGATTGCTTCAGCAAACTTGAGGAGAATTGAACTCTTTTGCCTGCTGATAATTCTGAACGATCTTGTAAAGTCCACCTTATGACCTGTGTCAAAGAGACGCCTAGCAATGGCACCGGTTGTCTTTGCTTAATATTGAAGGTCAGATGGCCAGTCAGAAAGGACCAGCAACCAGGAACTCTGGGAAAGAACCAACCAAGAACCTCTTGCTTAACAAATATGTCGAAGGAAATGAAGACGGATCGGATACATGCTGAGAAGACCATTGGCTGAAATCAAGCGCTAGACACAGCCTTGAGTAGGACCAGAATGGGAAACGGCAAGTCAGGTGTGCGAGAGTGACATGGAGGAGATGAGAGCCTATGGGCAGTTGTTGAGCCAGATAAAAAGAACCTAGGAAAACAGGACGAAATGGAGATTTGCTGTTGAAGCCCAATGTTCCGGTTGGAACGCAGGGAATAAATAGATAGATATTAGTTAATCAATAAGAACACTATTACTCACTCACTCACCAAAGTATCAGATATTCACCTGATAAGAGGAAACGATAGTCATGAATTCCTCTTCTGAACACAATTAAACAATATTTAAACTTAAATAGGGAAGGAATAACTTGTGTAGATAATTCACCGCTTATAAACCACAAAGTAAAGTGGGAATGAAAGAAAAAAGGATAAACAAAGACTTCAGAATAATTTCGTAAACAAAAAGGAATATATTCACTATAAATTCTCGCTTTAATGTATATAGCTCTATCTTATTTGCCAATTTTTTTTTCAATGAATAATTACTTATTTCGATTATAAGCTTTTAAAGTAATAAACATCATAATTCATACCATGAGATCTTTTTTATTTTATATGAATAATTTTAGAAGTAATCTCTGTGTGTGTGTGTGGGTGTGTGCGAACTAATGCTCAAAAAGAGAGATATTTTATTAAACGACTTTCATTTGATGATAACAGTTATTAATATTTACGCTCAGGGTGATAGTATCTCGCCTTCTTATTTCATTAAAATAATCACTCTCAGATACGTTGATATATATTCACTAGTGTATTTCCCTGGTGAAGAATGTAAACAAATAGATTTACTTCCTAAAGAGAGAGAAGAATGCACAACTTTCTATCAACAAAAACAGGCTCTATCTGATGATATTAGATGGTTGGGGGCAGTTGGTCACAGGAAGCCTTGGACCTAAGCTTCAAGGTCGCAGATACGCCTTGCTGACTAGTGAGTGCCAACTAGCACGAAACCTAGGTCCGAAGCTTCCTGTGGCCGATTGCCTTCAACCATCTAATATCATCAAATCAATGTGCATCGTGATGGCAAGCCACCTAGAATGGTGGCCACTTTGTAAACCTGACTGATAGAATTCAGTCTGTACCAAACAAAAGGACTAGACACATCACACTATTTACTGACTGGTGTCCAATCAAAGTACAGACTCTATAAAAATTCACGGATAACAGAATGCTGAGAGTTTCCAGTTTGTCGTTTTAAAAATAGCATTGAAGTTGTTTGCAAGGGACTATATGCAATAATTTCAGTTTTATAATAATCGATTAAGGTCATTACCATTACATCTTCAATTGTTTTTTCAAATGTATGCGATTTTACTGAGAAATGTCATGTATATAAGCAAGTTACACATTCAAAGGTTCTTATTAAACAATCAGAAAATGTGATATTTGTTGCAAATACTTTATATTAAACATGAGCTAACCCCCATTAAGTTCACAGGGTGTATTAGCAAAGGGCATAGTGACCGAGACAATTTCTTCCTTCTCATTCCTTACGTTTCAAGTGGCTTCTAGCTCTTGGAAGTTTCAGTAGCGCTGATGTTGTTGTTTCCTACAGAGTGGAGTTGCCAACCTCACGCCTAAACTTCCCTCTTTTTCTTCGGGGGTTGGGGGGCTTACTTTCAGCTAACAAATCAGGTGAGATTTAGGAGTGCAGCAACCGGGGATCGAACCCAGACCTCTTGTGTATGGCTGCACCACCAAATCACGAATGGAACAAGTCAATATAAGTTCACTTTACTTAAAGGATATTTCACAGTTGCTTACAACCTAAATAATATCAAAGTCTACACATCATCTAATAGGTTGCATGATTTTATCAAGCTAAGACGATGATAGTGAGTCGGTGACACAGCGGTAGAATGCTCTCCAACCACGTGTGTGGTCAGTGTACATCATCCTATACTGACTTTTATTCAAATATCTAATCAATTCCACTCATGTATATAAATGAAGTTAAAAGTTGTGTAAGTAGTGCCTTGATATGATTATGAGTGGCAATAATTTGTGCTCGAAACGTCATCAGTTAATATTACTGTATAACACTGTGTGATTTATCAAAATAAACTCTTATTCATAATGGGATAATATAGTGTGATGCAGATTCATAGAAAGCGGTCGGTTGGTCGGTCAAAACTGAAATCAACATTTTGAGTCGACGGCTGCAGAGTTTACGTTGTGGATATGAAATAACCTCATTGGATAACTTGCTTAATCTTGGGCCAATTGCCGACCAATCAGAATAGTTTATTCTCCTCTGAACTAGCCGAACTTTAAAGTAGCTAAGAATGTATAAATATGGTGTTTTTCCTTAATAAAAGTGAGTTGCCCGTTCTCCCATTTTCTGCCGTTACAATAATGTTAATTCTTTTACCCATTTATGCGATGAAGATAACCTAAATTTTGCGCAAAATCAGATTTTACAATAAATGAATGCATACAGAACTGTTTAACGAGTAGAAACTTAATTTTCCCGAGAAATTTATTCAGGTATTTTCAAAATTATATATATATACACATATCGTCAATTATTGGTCTTGATACAATGATGTCGCTTAAATCCAAATACAATTTGAATTTAGTTGAGAACCCAGTTCCTTTATTAGTTAGACCTCTAAACTGTTACACAACTTCTGATTAACACGTACAAGTAGTCAATTAAAAGTCTAAATTGAGGTGTAAATCAAACAGTAAGAACAAAAAAATTACTGTCATTACTGATCAAGTAAATACAAACAGTTTTACGTGTAAGTACGCCATAAAACAGAAAATATTGATTTTTTCTGAGAAGTAATACACCCATCCATAAAATAACACAAACCACTGACTGAATGGCGGTATGTGGACGGTTATTACTTTCCAGCTGACCTCACCGTGGAAGTTGGTTTCTTCTTGAAATACTTGATACAGAAACAACACTCGTGTTGCGTGACGGCAAAGCCTAGGAGAAAAATGCTCGCGACTGGTCACACGGGCTATTTGAGTCGGTTTTTGGAGTTGTGTTCGTATTAAGACCTAACAGCTGGCTACAGACCACCATAAAGACGGTTGGGATGTACAATTTTCGGGGTCAACCTTCCCTAATCCCCCCTTCTCGGAGCCTAGAGACAACATAGCTGGCATGTTGGCCGTACGACAGAAAAGTCTTACTACCGCCACATCTTCATTCACCAGTAGCACGACTTTGCCCACATAACCCCCCCCCCCCAACATAGTGTATACGAATTACACTATGATAGTTACTGCTTTTAACCTAACCGCTGTCCAAACGACCTTTCTGACATGGTATGACCCCCAGGAACATTATTTGCGGCCAGTGTTAGTCATTGGGTCATTGTGATATGCAAGCCTGACCGCCATATCAAGGTAGTAGCTATCGGTCGAGATACACCTGACCAAAAATTTCGCATACAAACGCATCAAGAAAAGCATGATACTTAAGACGAAGATGTACCAAGTTAATGCACACATTCTTACGAACACTGATATTAACAATATAGTCAAATAGGTAACTATGCTTATAAAAAAGTATATTTACAAATTATATTTGTATTGTCCAAGGATTTCTGAGACATCGAAGTAAGACCACAAAAGACCATCACGAAGTTAGGATAGCCATATACAGTGAACTGTTTTAACCACTTACAAAAGGTTTTTCACATTCTTCAACATACATTTAGACTTATTATTTTCACTGTTAAGTTTTACAGATGAATGAGATTTTATGACAACGATTCGAGCATGAAATTTTAAAAAAAGTTAGTACTATATCCATTTCAATATTTACAAATGTGCTGACTGACTGAGTTTCAAGACAGAACTCTGGACAGAAGTGCAGTAATTCAAGCTGTCATGCTCCATGTAGCACAAAAAGATGTAGAGAAGAGAAAAAGAGATTCAATAGAACCATAATAAAAATAGAAAGGTGCGAGGTAAAGAACAGTAACACGGAAAAGCATGAAGGTTTAGTGGATATGGAAGATCATGAAGAGTAAATGCATTTGAGTCATATTACCACTAGTCTCCAAGCAGTGGTTTTTAGCATCCCGAGGACTCCAACTAGATAAATATGCGAAAAGGCACTGAAACGTAGAATCTAGTAGGACTGTTTATTGATCTAAATGGTTTGAAGTCAACTAACTTTATGTTAAAACAATTAAGGTTATATTAAAAGAAATACAATTTATGAAGTGAGATTAGACAGACAGTGAATGACACAGAATAGAAAGATATTTATAGCTTTAAACAAGGTAGGATGTGTCTATCTTTAAGCTACTGACACTAGTTTTGAGTCATAGAGTCTAGACTGTTGATTACCTTACAGCTACAATCTAGAAAGTCTACAGTTTCTACCTTAATCCAAACAAAAAGTTAAAGACTTCAAGTTGGAACTTGCAAAGAAGACTTCTTTGATTGTCTCTGTACTTGTAATTTAGAATAAGACTAATTATTAGAAAAATACTGAATACAAGAAAAAGGATGTATAGATGAATATATATATTTTATTCCAAAATATATACAGCACAAAAGTCACCTTGAAAATATGTACAACGTTGAAAATATAAACAAGATCTGAATCATGGTCGTATTCCTTTAGTCACAGTAATCCAACCATCATCATCAGGTTTCTTACTGGATTCAATACGTTTCCTGAAATAATCTTGCAGAATAGTCTCTGAATCACTCTTCGATTTCTGATAATCTTTTACCCATTCTGGATTTTGATTTGAATAACGATCTGAACATATAAATATTACAATGAAACTGAAACATACCAGGAATATGAACGTCTGTCAGTTTGAACTCGTATGTTTTAGTCAATGGTGTTGACAAAATTTTATTGACACACTCTACTGTGTCAAATTCGAAAACAGCTTGAGCTTCAGGCTAGTTTATTATATCAATAAACTAAAATAATATTGACAAGACTTACCGGAGAATAACGCAAACTAGTTATTTCACCGAATGACTTGAAGAATTCAAACAATGATCTCTATAAAAACCCACAGTGATAAAACACATATATATATACATAAATTATAAATCAATTACCGCATCCATTAAAGGGTGAACATTATATATTAAGATGCCATTTTTCCTTAATTTCTTTGCATACATGAAGTGAGTCAGACCCATTTTGAAACTCACTGGAATAGCTGCAATAATGAATAAAAAGAATAAGCGTTGAGGTAGACGATAATATGGACAAATTTCATTATAAACCTAGTAGCATTTCAAGAACACAAATAGCAACTCACTCAGAGTAATATTTGGTCTTAAAAGAAACTATATAATCACTTTTCTGAGCGATACGGAACGAATAAGCATGGAAACGAGCTCATTAATTCTACTAAGAACTAAAACGAAAGTTAGACTTCCCAACTATTGAGCGAAGCAAAATATAGTGCGGTAAAATTCAAACTGTCGAGCTAAAAATGCAAGATTAAACAACCAAATTAGTAAAGAAATTAAATACTCGACCAATCAACAGGCTGACTTTACAACAAACTCCAATAAACAATCACCAATAATTAACGTTGCTATACATAAACATTTAACAACATAGAAAATTACTCACCAGTTACTCCCTTAATTATCAACGGTTCGTCTGTCATCCTTCTGTATACACGAACCGTATTTGTGAAATAAGTGTGCAGGCGGTAAGCGCTGAGCGAAATCAAGACTCTAGGAAAAGAAGAAAAAGTATTCTTGAAGAATCTCAGTGATTAGTCAATTTGAATCTTCATTTAGTTAATTGACTTATGAATGGGCTATACAGTTTCAAAAAAGGGACAAAATGTCATGAAACCAAGAAATTATAATAAATTAATTATTGTCCCTTTTACATTTGCTTAGGATACTGACTGTATGGAAGACGGAAAGTTAACTTTCAGCCTATAAAGTATGAAAAGAAAGCTTCGAAGGATTTAGAAAGGATGTCATGCACTTCGACAAGTGTTATTAACTTGGGGAAAACACTAGAGACAGCCAGTCCAAAACACAATAAGCTAAATTCGGAAAAGTTATATTTGCTAGTTTCCTATTTCAGTGTATAAATGAAAGAAATATTTAGATGCATAACTATAGACTGAGTTCTATTAAGTTGCACCTTTGTCCTTGAAAGCTCTTACTGATACTAAATTTCGTACCAGAATATTGTACAGGTAACTACCACTGAATTGTCTCGACAAGTAGTAAGCTTGCCTAAGTATACACAAAGAGTACACTGATCGAACTTATAGATGTTCAAATCCGTAATTTTAGATGAAAAAAGTTTGAATTCTTACGACAAGATTATTATGTTGTTGCATTTTTAATTCATTTCAGCAATATCGGAAACCATAATTCAGAATCTTGGTTTTTACATTTAAGCTTAATTTCATGATAAACGTCTCAATAAACCGTTTTGAAAATTCCATCAATTACCACAAGTTGTTGAACTAGCTAGTGAAACACACACACAATTTATATATGTATATATAAACTATTTGTCCACCTAAATCTCACTAGGTAGACTGAGTTTACAAGTGAATTATTAATCGAAAGTTGGAAGTCAATAAATGCTGCCCATACTTCCGAGCGAGGCATTTTTATTTTTAAAGATAACTTAATTAGGCTACTTCCAACCTCAACCACGTAAACATCTACAACAGAAGATATTCATAACAGATTCAATAAGCGGTAGTTCTAATCAGTTAATCAGTTTATCTGATTGTCTTGCTGGAATCAATTAAAAATTATAAGCTAGTGTCTGGTCACAAATGATCTAGTAAATGTGAAAAGCTATGAAAATAAAACCATCCTTAGTTTCGAAGCACCACTAGACAACAGATGGAAACATCGACTAGATAAGGAGACTTGACACCACATGTATGATTTAATTTAAATCTTTATGCACCCGTGCCACTCAGAACGACTCTGAGCATCATTAGTTTGTCTGAAACTAACTATTTCAGTTATCGTTTTGGTTCCCAAGCTTAAATCGATTTCCACTGACGGTGTAAAGTAAGATTAATCTTGGTCTGATTTTACTTCAACATTACAAATGAGCTTAAAGGGTACCTGTAGTATATTCCAAAGTCATTACAAACAATGAATTTATAAGTTAAAGAACCAACTTATCTATCTCAATATCACTTCCATCTAGACGATTTCATGATTTCCACACAAAATGACGTACACATTAGTATATTTAGTCAATACTTGTTGTTTTATGAGGTAATAACAAGACCAGTTTTAGGAAAAACATCATTCACTTAGCATTGCATCTGTATATTTCCAACAACCATAATCACCAGTTATTCTCTTCATAACCTATAACAATGTGTCCAATGCATTCGAGTTGTAGGTTAGAAACACGCTCATTAGTAAAGCTCTAACGAATTTATTCATGCATGATGACTGCATGTGTAGTTGACTGACACAACTGACAATTATTAGTGATATAAGTATAAAACTTGGGCACTGTGGTAGAGTATAATTCCATAATGGATAAGATTTTATTTTGATAAATCACACAGTGTAGTGCAGTTATATTAACTGATGACGTTTCGAGCACAAACTATTGCTCATAATCATATCAAGTTCAACTTGATATGATTATGAGCAATAGTTTGTGCTCGAAACGTCATCAGTTAATATAACTGCACTACACTGTGTGATTTATCAAAATAAAATCTTATCCATTATGACAATTATTAGATAGCAAAAAGAGAGTTATTTAGCTAGTATCCTCAATATTTTTAAGCCGACCCCAGACTATTGCTGTGGAGTTATAAAATTTAAGTGCCGTTCCGGACAGATACGAGAACATATGTACATATATTATATTTGTTATATTTCTCCCTAATACAGTTACAGAACTTCAAGTAAATTCCCAGAATACTGAGGAGCGTAGCAAGTATCGCAGTGAATTGGTCTGAATGTTAAGTTGCCATGTCTACTGACCTCACTTTGTCCTTAGTAATTACCTAACCGATGTTGCAAGCCTAACGGTTAAAATCCCAGTAGGAAGTAATGACTACGCGCTAGTATTTAGTATCACTTCGTTTACGTTATCCACCACTAAAAGACTACATATCAGAACTTACTTTAAAACAGAATTTGAACAAATTCAACACAAACTGGAAAAAAACATCTAGAAAGCCGTCCACAAAAGACCCAACCTGGATACGATAAAGAATGTAATTGTGATGACTAATACAAAACCATTATTGGCAGATTCCAATATAAAAAAATTCATTCCTACTGGCTTAAATGGAAGAAAGGAAGTAAAAAGATACTTGCTTACTATGTGGTTTAATACCAAATAAAGGAATTAGAAATAATCATCCTAAGAAAGCAAATACCGCTGTGCTGAATTATTAAACCCTTATGCATACAACACAAAAAAGATAATAGACATCCTTGCTTCAAAGAAGATAAAACGCATCAATTAGTATAGCATGCTAGATGCCAATATCTTGTCTTTATGTTCGTTCCACCCATATATGTTTTTACGTTTGCACACCTTTTTGTAACGTGCTGATTAACAAGCGCACCACATATCCAATGTCCAACATCTTTCTAATGAGTTTGTGTTAACCGAAGTGATTTCTTCGGACTTGCTTTCTTGATTGTAAGGTGAAGGTTCCTGATAAAATTCTGTGTAGTCTGTCCCATTATTTATTTGCCAAAGGTTTGGCTGACTTCGAGGAAAGCGGTGTGGAGATTGATTATATGAGGTTTGAAATTTCTGCTGGGCTAAAACTATGCTTCTGTGAATGGATTTAATCCTTTCACCTGTCAGACTTACGTTGTTGAAAAGCCAAAGGTCGTTATAATCACAATTTTATAGTCAGTGAACGGCTTGAGTTGTTGGTTCACAGTCGCTAACTCAGCTAGTGGTCTGGGAGCAGTTGCGCTCCCAGATCTCGCTCAGGCAGAAAATGGTCTGGTGAAGAAGCAGTTTTGGGCATGAGGCTAGCAAAGCCATGTTGTGTCAAAGAACCACCTCTACTAAAACTACAAGACTCAAGCTTAAATCCCCATGTTCCACATGGAACGCAAAGGAATAAAAAAGTAAAATGAGTAAACAAATAGGTAGGTAATACAATTTAATAACTTAAAAGTAAGTGACTGAGGAGGCAGAGTAGTTAGAATAGTGTGAAAAGGGGTCTAGGCATGGGTCGTTTCCTAATTTTTAAGATTTATTTGCTTAGTCGGGGATCCAATATGTTTCTCAAACCAATTGAACCTCAGCCTCTTCACCGTCAGGGATCAGTTTCTTGTCCGTGAAAACTGAAACATATGGTAGTCAATAATTTCCGAAGGACAAGAGCACAGCGGCGTCGTTGTGGCGTGATTGCGTATCTGTACTGTCTATTCCTACCATCGCAAATAGATACAACTTTGAACAACAGCGTGTGTTATATTCTCCCTTCGCTATTTGTGGCGGTGCTGACAACAGCCTCGCCGCCAGGTTAGGTAGGCGAGTCTAAAGCGTCAGTAGGCAGAGTGGCTAGAGCTTTAGTTGTAACGGGATAGATTGCCGCACAACAATCGTCAGCTTTTTCTGGTTGAAGCCGATTGGGGACGAGCTTGATTTCGTTCAGTCGGTGAAATTAACAGGTTTCCTACAGCTCGATAGAAAATCACATGACCCGAAAGGCCGCCGTGATCGTAGATCGAGAGAACACAAAAGAGAGAGGATATGTATTCACAAATAGTTGGAGTAATCGAAAAAGACGAATCAATTGACAGACAAAATATTGACTCCATATCACTTAGTATGTGTCACTTGAAAATGATAAAGTCAACTGACAAATATTGTATGGATCTGCATATCAAAGAGGACAGGTTTAGACAACACCCATTAATAGGGTAAGGTATGTGGATTTCAAGTGGATTGTCTATTTGGACGCAGTCTTTCTTCTGCTAAGTGATTACCTTGCCTCTGCATAAAGCTTTACATCGAAGGTGCCGCCTCCGGTAAAGAGTTACAGGGATGGTAAACTGGAACAGAATAGAATGGGTGACTCAAGCACGCTAAATTCCATGGAACAGCCTTTATTTTCGAAGACAGGAAAAACATCAAGTTTAGCTCTAAAGACCTGATGAAAACGAGGAAACTCTCACTGGGGCAAAGAAACAAGATGTGTCACGGCTATGTGAAAGAACTGATGCACTTTTTCAGACGATAAGAACAAATCATGCCAAAAATTATCCACTACTCTCTCTCATCATACGCTACCATCTGTCGTTGAATAATGAAGTAAGTTCAGTGTATACTGATACTGTTGTAGTTTGTCCTGGAAAATTCGAATCTATTTTTTATCTCAGTCCCTAGCCTTCACAACCCGAATAGACGAGATTTTTGGAATGCTAAAACGTGTATGCATTACAAAAGTGTTGCAGTGTGCCCCTATAAATTTTACGTCTGATATTGCACCTTAAAACACTAAAGTTGTACTTTGTAAACCATTTAGCACTTTGTTTTATTGAGACCGTTGATGGTTCATTGGACTATTTTTCATTTTTGTTTGAATTCACATTTAGTTAATTTCGAGTCACTTTTGCCCTCCATAATTTTGTTTTTCGTGTTTGGAGGCCGGATAACCTCAGATTCACTGGTTTTCATCACATCTGTCTGATACATTTCGGTTAATAGAAGGATAATCCTGCAGCTCTTCAACAATCTATGATCAGTACAATTCTATTTGGAACCGTTTGGACTTGTTTCCCTTTTTGGTCGAGTTCGCCTGGAACCGTTTGGCTTTCTTTGAATTTGCTTGATTTTATTTGGAACAATTTGGTTTTGCTCCGGTTTCGGTCAGGGACTTCAAATCAGTTTCCTTAAAAGTTATTCATGCGGTGCCCGTAACACTTCCCATTAATAAACCTGAACGAAGCATTATCGAAAAATGTGCCTGGATAGCATGATCTCATCTTTGATTATTTTGGGGATTCTTTTCAAGAGACTACGGCTTGAAGAATACAAAATATATATGTATTTATCCAAGATTTAAACACATTTTTCTGAATGACAAGTGATAACTGGTGTGAATCAAGTACGGTGTGGTGTATTTTATTAAATAATTAAAAGCGTTATTTATTGGATAATTAGGTCAGTTGAGATATGAAAACTGTAGAATCAGAATTAAAACAAACTCTCAGTTTTCTAGGTAGCTGTTAGTGTTTTCGTCGGACGGACGAATTTCCTTCTAAAACTTAAGTTCCAAGGAGTTTCCTTTGTTGTATCAAAAATCTATATAATCTTTAAAGCTATTACGGAAACAATGATTATTTTCATCGTTCGAGAAACAGTAGTGGATGAATGGAAGACAGCGCGACTGATAGTTGCCTTTTAATTTGACAAATTTTGCGGACCCCAATCTTCCCGCGGTTTGTACGAGGGGGCTGAGTCAATGGTAGTCACACTTTACCCACCGATTCTGGAAGACCACACCCTTACATTGAATTAAGAATTTAAAGTCAGTTATTTGCGGACCTCAACTAAAATAACGTTAGTGACTTGCAAGAGATCAAAGAATTTCACAGAAACATGGCTTCATTCGCATGCTTTTACTGTCGGGTTCAAAAATGTGGCTGCGGACAGTTGGTCTTTGAAGGTTAAACGAGAATGATGTTTGCCCAGTGTCCGAAGGCTGCTCATCACCATAATTTCCCATTACCTCGTAAGTCCAATGCTTTTCCTCGTGACAGATGTAGTGAGGCAGATGGATTCGTAAGGCCCATTGGATTAAATAGCTACAAGGGTCTTGGGCCTATTCACTCTTAGTCTCAACTAGAAACGAAGTTGATTGTTGTAGTATGGACCTTCGCATCGGCCAAATAACTGGGTGATTTCCTATCTTGTGCACATCATGACGTGTTGGTCAAGTTTCCTAGTATTTCAATAGTTTTTATCGAAATAGTGTTATTTCTATTATTTATACTGTGAAAGTTCCTTTTTCTATATTTATATTCAATCCATTGGATACAAACACTTAACCACCACACTAAATTATCACTCACACCTATCAATCATGCATTTGTTTCAACTGACACTTAATTTCATTTCAGTGGTCATGTGTTTGTGTGTAAACCTGATAAACCAGTAAAAGTAATTGTCTATGAAGAAATACACTGAAGAGTCCTACAAAAATTTACTAACAGTTGTTACTTGTTTTAGTTTTACTACCAGTCAGTAATGTTTTCAATCTCTCATTTGCAGCATGATGAATCCTATGAAACTTAAATAGTAACAAATTTCATCTAAAATACGAACGCAATCCAACAATGTCGTTGGACAACTATGCAGTTCGAAGATGCTTCTGGCGCAGAATTCCGCCAACATGACGAAAAATGGTTGGTTAAACACGCCTATTAATAGCTAGGAATGGACGAGAATATTCCCAACAAAAATAGCATCAGTATTCTGTTCGCAATAAACAATTCAGTTGATTAAATTTTCAAGAACCTGTATATATATTCGGTCACCCCTTGGCTCAACTTAATTTCAGACAAACGGAAAGTCAAAGGCGGTAAAAAAGAGGTACACATTTAGTCCATAAGATGAGCTTACGCTTGAGTTTAACGCACGGTAAATTTGCTTAAAGGCCACTGTTCACTACATTCACACTGGGAAGGGAAGGACACTACACTTAAGTTTTTAAAGGTTAGAAGAGACTAGGGGGATGAAAAGAATACACCACTTTGCAGATACCATTGCTGTACTGCCTTCAATTTCATTTTGTGGCAACTCTTTGCTAACCACGTACAGTAAATCAAACAGACTGACCACCATGGATAAACAGCCCACACTTCGGCTGGTTTTACAGTATTTTGAACTTTACGCATTGCTGCTACCGGGTTGTCAACTTAAGTTGTCCCTTTTGACGAAGAAGCTGCCAAGCAGATGACAGGGAAAGTGTGGTTGATGGATGGGGTTCGGTGCTGTTAGATGTCATATGCTGGTTTAACATAATCTGCTTTCGCCCAGTGATTGTGCTAATGCTACCTATAATGAGTGAGGATTGAACCAATAGTCGGATACATCCCAGAAGTAAAGTCTATTGCCTTAACCACTCAGCCGCTTCCTTTTCAACATAGTTAAAAATACCTAGCTGCATGCTAGATATCATCAACCCTGTATAATACTGGCGGTGATTTAACTAACATCTAGATAAACTATCAATAAAAAAGCGTCAGTGACTCCAAACTATAGCAGCCCAAACCGAAACCACCTAGCGAACGGACAAATGACTTTGAGCAACCAATCAGGTGACGCCGTATTATCCAGACGTAATTATGGATGCTGTACACCTTTTGCGTTGCAAATTCGCTTCAGATCTTGTTTTTGATTACTGTTTGGAGGACAAACTGATAAGAAGTCCGAAAGATTGCCAATGTGGAGGCGTCATGCATATACAAAGATACACCAGGTGCATCGATGTGTTTGTTTACAGGTGCAATGAGTGCTGTACCGGAAATCATTTCGAGAAAGTATGTTGTTCTGTTTTAGTTTACAGATTCCTTAGGTACTCTTTTCGCGAAGTCTAAATTACCTCTAACGAAAATTTTAATGATGTGTCATAACTGGATGCTTAAAAGACCAGTAACAGCAACAACATATGAAAGCGTCTTTGACCAGGAGATTCTGGAAGACTACAGCAGGTGACCAACCATACTCTCTGTGTTTGAATCTACTGAAGAATTTGGTCCAGTGATGAAGAGTGACTGGGAAAAAGAAATC